CATTAGACATAACCTTATTAAAAACAGATGATATGGGGCTAATAAATTTATTATATGCATGCCATTTAATTGTTGATATTCCTTCGAATATTAAAGTATGTAATAACAATAGCAATAAATGAATTAAAACATAGCTTAGTGCATTTTAAGCCAGGACTAGGTGCGTCTAAACTCGAAATGACGCCTAGTTTGCAATTAAACGTTCGCACTCTAATTAACTAAGCAATTAATGAGATTTTGGTGCATGGCTTATAATGGTCAAACTGGTCACACCTGTCTTTCTAAAATATAAAAAACTTGTAGTGAAAATGTGCAAGTTTTCAGTGTGACCAAAAGCGACAAAGCAACTGCAAGTGCAATAGTGGGGCGCACGAGAGAGAGAGAGAGCGCGAGAGAGCGAGAGAGCGAGGGGCACATGTTAATACCAAATACGCGCCTAAAATGCCAAATTAATAGCGAAAAATGTAAAAATTTTCTCATTCAATGACCTTGACAATGGCTTTGGCTTTGGCTTTGGCTTTGGCTTTGACTCGTGAGCTTCAGCTTGAGTCTAAGCTCGGGCTACAGCATGCGCTCTTTATGGTTACAAAGTTCTCTGCGTGTATGCGAGCACACACTCACACACACACACGCACATTAAACATATGCAGTGTGTATGTGTGGAGCAAGTGGCGGCTGTGCTTGTAACTGTCGCCGTCTCCGTCTGCTCTTTGCATTTACGTGCGCGCGCGCGCGTGTGTGTGTGTGCGTGTGTGTGTGTAGAAAACGTGACGAGCTGCGAACTTTTTGGAGAAAGGTCGTTGATCATGGCTCTTGTTGTAGTAGCTCTTGCTGTTGTTATTGTAGAAGTTTGTTGTTGATTGTTGTTGTATTTCGTCAACACATAGCGGTTTCAAAGTCATCAGCTACGTCAAAGCGCCGTTTTTGGCCATTTAATTATTTCTAGTTTCCATCGAGCCAGCTGTGTGCACACACTCGACTCCCTTGACTCCCCCTTTGCCACTGACAAGGCCGCAGCTCATCGGTCCATGCATGCACACATATGCATGTATATATGTATGTATGCGCATACATACATAAGTATGTTTATAGGCTTATAACTGGATGTTTACATTCCCATGTGCCTTGATGCGATTTCAAAGGGTTGAAAAGGCAAAGGTGGGGCCAAAAACCAAATACCCTACAAACAAAACGTTTTTTCCATTGCCATTAATTGACATGAATTTAATTGATTTAATCAACATCATTGTAAACAGCTTAACATATGTACATACATATGTATGTATGTTGAATGCCAATTTATTAAATAGTTTTAAAACCAAAGCAACATTAACAAAGTACACTCTATAATAGGCTTAGGATATACATGTGCATACAAACATGTCAACATACATGTGTCTATGTAAATATGTATATAAAAAAAGATCAGAGCTTTATACATTAAAACTAAAGAAAAATTCTACACAATACCACAGTTATGCATACACATACATACATACATAAGTACATATGCACGTAAATAGCCATTGAAACCGGCTAATGATATGTAGGGTATATATGCATGTATGTATGTATGGGTGTTTAAAGCTTATCTGCGAAAGAGCAGATCCAGAACAAGAGCAAGAAGAGCTGGCTGATTGGAATGCGAATGCTGACGTTAGCGAATACCAGTTAACACCATGAGAATTTCTTCAGCTATTCAGTTAAAATATGAAACTAAGACAACAACTGACAGCTCCCATTTCAAATTAAGCGTCTGCCTTGAACAATTCCATGAACAGTGGCCAACAATCAGCGCTACATTCGATTTCTTCAAAAACAAAATACATATAGAGATATACATACATACATGCATACATATGAATCAAGTGACTGCCAACACAAACAATACACACACATACATATATATGTATGTATGTACATATATAGATAGAAATGCAATGCGATCGAATGATTGGCCAGCGTTCCCCAAACGTTTGTTGTTTTCTTTTATGCTGTACACGAGAGAGCACGCCTGCGTGAGCCTCTTTCGTTCTTGCTTGCGCTGTCTCTCCTGCCGTTTTTTTCTTTTTTGGTTGTTTCTGCTGATGCTCGTGTCTGTTGCTGTATGTGTGTTCGTGCACGTGTATGTATTTATGCTTGCGCTATACAAGCACGCACAAGCTTACAAGACAGACATGTACATATGTATGTGTGTATGTTGCGAGCCAAAGTAGATACTTTTGATATTTGTTAGTTATTTGTGCGTCATTTTAATTCAAAATAGGCAATTATTTAAACGATGATTAGTCAACCGGCAATAGTAAATATCACGGTTGCCGATGGAATGCGTCCGCTAGCCATGTATGAGCAATTGCCGTTACAAAAACACTGCGATTCGAGCGAACACACATACACTACCCATGCATATGTATATGTATGCATGTGTTGCATACACACAGCCTGCATGTATTTGTATGTACATATGTACATGTAAGCTGCATGTTTGTACGCAGCTTTCCCCTCTCCGACGCTGCAAGCCACTTACACTGCACTCTTTCACTTTTAACACTGCTGTAAGAGAGAGAGACAGAGAGGGAGCGGCTTTGACAATGCATTTTGGAAGGCCTGTTTTTAAGCCCAGTAAAACCGTACACTAAAAGGTTTTTAACTATTGAAGCTTGTAAATAATTTTAAAAAACAATAAGAGTACGTATTTAACCGTTTCGCACTGGTACATTTTTAAAAATACCTTTTAAAAATCAAATAAAATCAACCCCAGCGCCACAGAGCTAAGTTGAGTCAGCATTTCGCTGAGCGCAGCAAGTGAATGAGCGCAATCCAGTGTTTGCCTGTGTGTGTTAGTGTGTGTGTGTGTGAGTATGTGTGTGTCGCTGTCTCTTTTGCGCAAACGCATGGTTGACGCATCAACTGGCAGCTGTTTTAGCCTGGCGCCGGTATAGCTACAAACCGAGCTTTAAAGTCGGAAATCATGACGACTAGTGTAGACTCTGCGTTTTCATTTGTCTATGAAATGTTTCTATCAATTGTATAAATATGTACAAGTCACTAGTTGAATAATTCATCAGTTTAGCTTGAATTTGTTTCTGGTGTAGAGAAAATGCCGTTTGTTAGAGCCAGACAACTAATGAAGCAAACTTCTCTCATTCCAACGTACTGGGACTATTCAGTAAAATCACAAAATATTCTACTTTATATGCAGTCTATCTATACATTTTGATTTAAATCTAAGCTGAAGCACTTGATATACATATGTATGTACATGTGCATGGTGCAAAACGTACTGCATAGTGACGCAACCTGATCGCAGTCACACCCGTAACAGGGGATTATGCTGCGAAGTACTCTTCGCGAGCAGCATATGCGCACACACACATGCCCATACGCCCATATACCCATACACACGCGTACGCATGCACATATACAGACATAGATACGCCGCAGCACACACACAGACGCTGGCAACGGGGTAAAATTGAATTCATACCATATATGGTAAAGCGCTTGCCAGCCTGGAGAAGTGTGCAAGTGGCGCTGATAAGGCGCTAAGTTACTGTGCCGGTTGGGATGGACACGGGCTTTATAAAACGGCAAACGGCGACCAGTTTTCATGTCATTACAGTTTGAGTTCTTGTGCAGTGTGGAATACACCTCCCGACACAAAACCGCTTAAAGCAGCCAGCTAAAGTCGTCTAAACAAAAGACACACAACCGAAAGACTTAATTTATATTTATTTAATTAATTTTAATCAAAACAGACCAAATGTAAGTATTGTACAACAGCCAGTCAGCAGAAAACATAAATACATAAATCAAAATCAATAATCAAAAAAAAAAAACTCTACAAAACGCTCAAAATGCAATGAAATCGTGAATAGCATATTTTGTTTGAAATTTTTTTTTTTCGAAAACCATTTTTTTTATACAAGTGCTTGTGGAATATGTGATAATGTCAAAGAATTGACCAAAGACTTGCTGATAACAATATCAAAAGCAACAAAAGTCGAGAACGTAATCAATAAAAAGATTCAAAATCTAACAAAAACCAAAAGAGTCACGCGCTTGTGAAGAAAAAAAAAAAAAATATCGCAACAATTTTGTTATCACAAAATTTTACGCACACACACACACACACATGCATGCAGCCCCCAGTATCGTTGTGTGCATTTAGATCTAGTGCTGGGGCGTGCCCGTTGCGGATTTCAAAAACTTATACAATGCCAAAGAAATACATATACATACACACATACATATACAGAAGAAGCGAAAAGAAAGAACTGGTGACAGTTTTCAGCCACTTGCAATAAAATTCGCAAACACTTTCTTTTTTTTCCCACGCTTCAATTAGCTTTCATGGCAAACCATTTGAAAAGTAACGGCCAACCTAAAGACAAAATACACACACACACACACACACACATGCAAATGTACTTATTTGTATGCACAATTGTTTGGGTGTATAGTTAGTAATTTGTACATGTTCATGTATGTGTGTATTTATGTATATGTACGGCGACTGCCCACGGTGCAAGTGACGTAGGCAAGTTGGCCAGAAATAGTCAAAGAATCACGTCATTAAAGTTATTCGGCGTTTCTTGAATGCAAAAATGCCGGTTTTTTTAATGAGCCGCGCTAAAATGGAGAAAACCTTCAGCATTGTCAACCGTTGGCTTTGCTATCGCCGTCGTCGTCGCCGTCGCCGCAATACAGCGCGTGAGAGAGCGAAAGCGGCGACATTTCCAGCTCTCCGTCTCGACGATTCACGTCGAAACATGACCATATATGGGCACAAAAGTTGGCAACCCAAGCGCGCTAATCGTGCGCTCTCTATCGCACGCATGCGCCAGCATACGCTGCGTGCGAGCGAGCTGGCAGAGCAGCAGCTGCGCTCGCATAGATATCACAGCGACGTCGACGACGACGACGACGACGTCGCTTGAAGCAGCGCTTGAAATAGCTGTTAACTGGCATTCGGTCGCTTGTTCATTCCTCTTTCGGCAGTCAATCGGTGCGGTTGCATTTTTAGTCAGTCTATTGCCTCGTCGCCTCCTACCAATAACCAAGTGTGGGTTACAAATTTTTCAACTTGAATTGCAAAGTTTCAATTCAATTTTCTTAAATAATTTTCGTCGTTTGTTGTTAAATAAAACAAAAAGGTAATAAACAGTTTAAAAGAAAAGTGTCTACCCATATAGAATTGCAAATACACATTAGGTGCCGGCTTGTGTAGAGAATTTTTTTTCCGTTGTTTTTTTTTCTTCGTGCAAATGGCGGCCATTTTATGCGACTACGTATACACACATACACAAATGCACAAGCGAGAGCGGCTTTCCTTTGGCCACTTGCTTGGCACCGGCATGCTACGGTGATATGCTCTTGAGCTTTTGTCAAGTTGTTGATTTATGTGCAGGGTGTTGCCTCTGCACCAAGAGAGAGAAACACACACACATACACATACAAATATATACATATACATACAGAAACACTCAAGGGAGAGTGTTGAAATGGTGGCCATTTTGGTTAATTTTTTTTTTCTTGTGTTTCAATTTAATTCTTTGCAGCTTACAAAATGTGTGACGAAGAAGTTGCTGCATTGGTTGTCGACAATGGCTCCGGCATGTGCAAGGCTGGCTTCGCTGGCGATGATGCGCCCCGCGCTGTCTTCCCATCGATTGTGGGCCGTCCACGTCATCAGGGCGTGATGGTCGGTATGGGCCAAAAGGACTCGTATGTGGGTGATGAGGCACAGAGCAAACGTGGTATCCTCACCCTCAAGTATCCCATTGAGCACGGTATTGTGACCAACTGGGATGATATGGAGAAAATCTGGCATCACACCTTCTACAATGAGCTGCGTGTTGCGCCCGAGGAGCACCCAGTGCTGTTGACCGAAGCACCCCTCAACCCCAAGGCCAATCGCGAGAAGATGACACAGATCATGTTTGAGACCTTCAACACACCCGCCATGTATGTGGCCATCCAGGCTGTGCTCTCCCTGTATGCCTCTGGTCGTACCACTGGCATTGTGTTGGACTCTGGCGATGGTGTCTCCCACACTGTGCCCATCTATGAGGGTTATGCATTGCCCCATGCCATTCTGCGTCTGGATTTGGCCGGTCGCGATCTGACCGATTACCTGATGAAGATCCTCACGGAGCGTGGCTACTCTTTCACCACCACTGCCGAGCGTGAAATTGTGCGTGACATCAAGGAGAAGCTCTGCTATGTGGCTCTTGATTTCGAGCAGGAGATGGCAACCGCTGCCTCCAGCTCCTCATTGGAGAAGTCGTATGAGCTGCCCGACGGACAGGTCATTACCATCGGCAATGAGCGTTTCCGTTGCCCAGAGGCACTCTTCCAGCCCTCGTTCCTGGGTATGGAGGCATGCGGCATTCATGAGACCACCTACAATTCGATCATGAAGTGCGATGTCGATATCCGTAAGGATCTCTATGCCAACACAGTGCTGTCCGGAGGCACCACCATGTACCCTGGCATTGCTGATCGCATGCAGAAGGAGATCACCGCCTTGGCCCCATCCACCATGAAGATCAAGATCATTGCACCACCAGAGCGCAAATACTCTGTATGGATCGGTGGCTCCATTTTGGCATCGCTCTCCACCTTCCAGCAGATGTGGATCTCCAAGCAGGAATACGATGAGTCTGGCCCATCCATTGTGCACCGCAAGTGCTTCTAAGTGCTCCAACCACCAACGGGAGCAAGTGGAGTGGCAACAACAACAACAACAGCAACAGCAAACGGGAGCTGCGCAATGTTATCCACACATCATCATCGTCGTCGTCGTCATGTTGTGTTCTAGCATTAATTTAATTTATTTCACATGAGATATATGATATAAATGCATATTTTTTTTTGTTTTTTTTTATATACCTTTTAATATAACTACAAAAATTGAGAACAACAACAAGAACATATTCTCTCTGCCATTCCACTTCTAAAAAAAATATCTATACCACAACAACACACACACAACACATATGCGTACACTCCCGGCATGACATGAAAAGAAAAGAAAAGCGAGTAAAATATTCCCCAAAAAGCAAGTAAAAGACACAAAACACAAAAATATGCAAAACACAAACAACAACAACAACAACACTAAGAGTTTTGTAAAATTTTCAAACGCAACCTTATGTATTATTTTTTAATTATGATGTAATTATAAACAACAAAGTGAAACAAAAATATGATGGAAAAAAAAAACTTAACCAAATCTGTTTTCTGTTACTCTTTCGTCTGCCTCCTCTTTTAACTGATAACGCCAACCCCTCCCCCCACGCCCTATGCTCCATTGTGCCCGCTTTCAGACTTTGCCTAACTCTGCTCATTTTATTTCTTGCTCTAACCTCTTGCTTTGCCGGCCGGCAAATGCAGTAACACGCACACACACGCGAACACTCACAGACACAGACACGAACACGAGCGTGTGCAGTTGGAGGGGAAGTAAATGAGAGCAGTGAGCAAAGTTACGCTCTATCTTTTTCTCTCTCTTTCTGTGCTCGCTCTGCTGTAAACTCCTTGAAATTTTATACATACATATGTATTTAAGCTGAAATTTTATATGTGTATTTAGTTATTTTTTTTTGTATTTTTTCTAATTGCATGCGTATTGAATGACGATATGTTTACGCCTCAAAATGTTAATTAAAATGTGAAATGCAAAAAAAAAAAAAAAAATAATTCAAGTATTATGTGTATACCAGCAAACTGTTCCCAAGCTGTTGATGTGTGTGGGGTCAGCGAACTTTTCGAGCTTTCGTCGCGCAGACACACACACACACACACGCAGCTAGTCTAAGCTCGCGCTCTCTCTCCAAATGCAGTTGGCTGTGCCACACACACACACACACACACACACGCACACACATTTGTATGCTAATGACCTTAAACTTACAATGTGGACCATTCCATTCCATTCATAAACAAAAATAACCGAGCGACCCATCGCTGTGATTAAAGTTCCGTTTCTAACGTTATCACAAATTGTTGGCATCGTTCTCGAAAGCTTTGCTCTTAACTGGCTCACAAATTGGCTTTGTGCCACATTCGTTTAGCTAATGAAGATTCGGAGCCTCATCTTTTTCTTTAAATATTTTCAATATGTTTGAATTCGAATTATAGTTTGAGCTCGTTGAAAACCCTAAAGGCTCCGCATTTCGAAGGGGGTTTTTAAATAATGGCAAACCCCTTTCAAGTTTCTTTGCATTCTTGTTATATAATACGGCACTTATATAATAAAAATGTGCATAGATTAAGTCAATTGAACTAGGCAAGTGCTTTCATTACTTTTCGCTTGGCCCTACAACAACGAAACTCATATACCCTGCATTTCGCGAAAGCTATGAGTTTCTCTTCCCGTCATATTGTAAGCTGTTGTGGGTAAATAGTATCGCAAGGTCCCATTGACCTCATCTAACTCGGGAACTATGCGAGCTGGGGTCGGGAACTTTCGGATGTAAGTACTCAAATGGCAGGTAAGCCAAAAAGTTGGAATACCTTTGTGAGAGACATACAAGAGTAAGACCCCATGCTCTCCATATAGGGTACAGTTAAGGACAACTGATCTCAGCGAACTGAAGAACACTACGAGCTATGCTCTCGACATTTCTTATATGAGTATATGCATAGATTAGAAAGTTCAGGGTAATGGGATTTTTTGAATGTCAGCAAAAGGTTCGCCTCCCGAAACGAAAATGAATCAACAGCGAACGCAATAAATAAATCGAAATGGTGTTTTTGAGCTGCAACAATTTAACTACATTGTAAATTGCCGTGAGGTTCGTGAGGGTAGCGAGGCAGGCTTCCGCCGGATTTGCGGACAGCGCCACCTTGTGCATTTGCCGAAAAAAATAATGTTCGTTTCGTTTCTTGTGGTCAAGCGACAGTTGGAATATTCAGTGGCTTGACCCGCTGCCCGTCTGTGAGAGGCTAATTGAAACGCATTTGCATATTGTGTACCGCACTTCGGACACTTACACAGCGAAATTGTGCTCCAGGCGGTTAGACTGCATTTGGTCGGCGATCCGTACGTACAAACATGTCAATTGCTGCAGCATTCAAGGATCAGGAAATCTTCGTGACTGGCGGCACGGGTATGCGACAACTTCTAAATTTCGAATACTTAGATTCGCTTTGAACCCTTTTCGATCCGCAACGTGCTCAGGTTTCGTGGGTAAGGCGCTGATCGAGAAGCTCCTGCGCTCCTGCTACACACTGGGCAAGATCTATGTGCTGATACGGCCTAAGAAGGGCGTTGCCATCGAGCAGCGCCTGGAGGCGTTGCTCAACTGCAAGCTGTACGAGCGCCTGCGGCGCGAGCAGCCCCAGACACTGGCCAAGGTGGTGCCCATTGCCGGGGATGTTATGCAGCTGGGCCTGGGCATCAGTGAGCCGGACTTGGCCCGTTTGCGGAATGTCAACATTGTCTATCACTCGGCGGCCTCTGTCCGGTAGGTGGCAATCCGGCTGTTTCCATTCTGTTCAAGCTTCTGATTTCTGTCCATGTCAGCTTTGATGATCCGCTGCGTTCGGCCATTTTGATGAACACACGCGGCACCCATGAGCTCATCAAGCTCGCGTTGCAATGGAAGAAACTGAAGGCCTTTGTCCATGTGTCCACGACGTACTCGAATCCCACCGAGCTGGAGGTTGAGGAGCGCATTTATCCACCCTACGCGGATTGGCGCACCACCATCAAACTGGCCGAGACCTACGATGAGGAAACCTTGGATGTTTTCAATTTGAAGTAGGTTGTGCTATGCTCGCATCGTTCGCCCAATTAACGTATTGCATCTTGTTTATTTTCAGGTATAGCAGCTTCCAGCCGAACACGTACACCTTCACTAAGAGTCTGGCCGAGCATGTGGCCAATGATTATAAGGATCAGTTGCCAATTTTAATATACAGGCCCTCAATTGGTAGGTACAGCTTCAAACTGATCATGCGCTCTGTCCCGGGATTGCTTGATATTGTTTGGGTCTAGTCTTCTAAATCCTTCCTGGTACTACTCAATATATTCTGGTACTGCATGAGTAGTCTTGGTACAGCTCGGTACGAGTTCGTACTGCTCGGTACGGCTCGGTACTGCTCGGTACTGTTCGGTACTGTACGGTACTCGGCTTTGCTTAGATAATTAGAGGTACGGGTAACTACCCGGTAGTCGTTCCTTATTACCGAGTACTGCATGGTATTATTTGGTATCTCTATTATTGTTACCCTATAACAGGGTACTGATTGGTATGAGGTTCCACTTGACATTGCTAAGTACAATATATCTTGAGACTAGCCGATACAAGTAGGTACTGCTAATGACGGCTGTGCAAACCGAAGTACTTATACGGTACAGCTAGTTGCTTGATACTACCCGGTGCTACACAGTTTTGTTCGGTACTGCACGGCGGCTTTCTCTGATATTACGCGACATTGTCGATGTTGATAGGTTGTTTTGATGTGTCACCTGATAGAAGGGTGGGCACTATTTCCAGCTTAGCTTGGAGCAGTACCAGCCTAGTAAGGTTCCCATTTGGGAAGAGATCTAACAGAAGTATTCGCAGATAGAGGATATAAGGATCGGAACACGCTTACTGCAGCAGCGGGTGTGACACAAAATAGGGTATAGCTGGAAATGGGCTTAGCTCGGTTTTTATTTACGGTCTCACGGTCTGACGCTCTTGGTTTCTCTTGCTTATGTGACAGTGATCTCGACGATAGAGGAGCCCGTGCCCGGCTGGGCGGATAACTTTAACGGACCCACCGGCATGCTGGTGGCCTGTGGCGTTGGCATTTTGCGCTCCCAGAACTGCGATCCCTATATTGTCGCCGATTTCGTGCCCGCCGATGTGGTGGTGCGCGGTCTCATCATAGCCGCATACAAATATTTAAAGCAAGCTCCGGCCAAGGGCAAGCCCATCGATGTGGTCAATTGTGCCACGGCCAACATATCGCCCATCACCATGGGCCAGGTCATCGATATCGGCAAGCGGTACATTAGGCAGAATCCCTTCGAGCAGACGCTCTGGTTGCCAGGCGGCGGCATCACCCTGTGTCCGGTCCTGCATTTCGTGAGGGTGAGTCCAATCCGTGCGCAGGGTGTGACAGTCCGTAACGCTTTCTAACTTGTGCTTACCTCTTCCTTGGGCCAGTTCATAACGATGCACATCATGATGGCCATTGTGGTGGACACCTTGCTGCGGCTGACCAACGAGAAGCCATTGTAAGTGCACGTATCCTCTCCATGTGTGATATATTACTGGAATTTTCATCCATTTTCCAGCCTGCTGAAACTACAGCGTCGCATTTTTGCCGCGTTCCGTGCGGTCCAGGTTTTTGCCACCACCGAGTGGCATTTCGACAACGAGAACTTCAAGGCATTGCATGCCGTCGTGCCCGAGAATGAAATGTGAGCGAGAGAGAGAGAGAGAGAGAGTGGGAGAGAGAGGGAGGGAAAGCTAACCTAAAACTTTGAATTTTTTCAGAGCCGTCTTTGGGTTCCTACAGCACTCGAACATCAACTATGTGGACTTCTTTCAGAATGGGATACGCGGCGCCAAGGAGTTTCTGATGAACGAGAGTCCCGAGAGCAGCAGTAAGGCGCGTCTGCGCATCAAGATCTTCTATGTTTTGGATTATGTGTGCCGTGCCATTGTTTATGGCTTTCTGATACGTCTCATTTATCGATTCGCTTTGCGCCTCTTCTTCTAATAACATTTGCTATTTTGTTTGTTTTTTTTTTTTTTTTGCCTACTGTAACTTTAAAACCCATTCTTTTTCATATAACGGCTGTGGTAAAATAAACGTTTTTTTTTTCCTAAGAAGCGCAAATTGAATTTTGAATATAGCTAACCGTTGAGGTGGCGCCACCTAGCGTGTGCCGGCACCAGCTACGCCTAACAGCAGCAGCTGCCATTGCTGTTAAGTTTAACATAGCGTGCTATCGATTACGCTCGATAAACAGGCACATTTTGAGTATAACAGAATGCCACAATAACATAAGCTTGCCAAAAAGCAACTAATTTTGCCGTGAAAAAAAAGTGAGAAAATATTGAAAAATGAATACCTACAAAACGCAAATAAATAAATAAATGCAAAATCAAAATGTGCAATGCCTAATACGTAAAGCGTACCGATGAGCGAGAAGCGGCAAACAAAATATAGCGTATGTGCATTAATAAAATGATTTGCGGTTGCGTGAAGCAGCGTCTTTTCCGCAATTAGCTACTAAAATACACTGAAAATAAACAAACACAAAGTGCGGAGGCAATACAAACAACAACAATTTTGAATTTGAAATTAATCAATGCAAACAGCGTGCGCACACTGTCTGTAATTAAATAAGTTGGCCAGTTCTGTTTACTTGTTGAGAGACCGACAACTGCGCGCGTTTGGCCCAACTGCAAACCCGGGTTAATTGGATTAGGGCCCAAAAGCGGGGCAGCGGCTGTGCCTGAGGCTGAGGTTGAGGCTCTGGCGGTGGCGGAGGCGGTGGCGGCGGCAGGCGTCGGGCGCAATCGGTTAGTTGGTTAGTTGCAAAAAGTTGATCGGCCTTAGCAATGGCAACGACACAGCAATATTCGCTGCGCTGGAATAACTATTTGCGGCATTTGACCTACTCGCTGGACAACCACAGGCTGAACGATGACTTTGTTGATGTCAGCCTGTGCGTGGACGGGCGCAAGATCAAGGCGCACAAGGTGGTGCTCAGCTCGTGCTCATCGTATTTTAAGGAGATATTCAAAGAGAATCCGCATCCACATCCAGTCATTATATTTAAGTTTATCAAATTCGAAGATCTCAACTCAATAGTCGAGTTTATGTATCAGGTATGCTTCTTGACTGGCCCATTAAAGCCTTTAATTAATCATTCTCCACGTTTGGCAGGGCGAGGTGAATGTGCAACAAGAGGCGCTGCAATCCTTTCTGCAGACCGCCGAACTGCTGGCCGTGCAAGGCCTGACCGCTGAGGAGAAGGAGAAACCGCAGCTGCCGGTGGCGCCGCTCATAAGCGATCACAAGCTCATCAAGACGATACCCAGCACGATACGCGCCGTCAACGAGCAGCAGCAGCAGCAACACCATCAGCATCAGCAGCATCAGCAGCAGCAGCAGGTGGCTGTTGCAAGCATCGCTCAAGCGCAGAGCGCCACACAAACCATCGAAATACCAACGGCCACGCTGTTGCAGGCAACGGCAACGCAGGTTCAAACGCAGGTCGCTGCTGCCGCGGCGGCTCAGCTGCAGGTGCAGCAGACCCAACAGCAGCAGCAGCAGCAGCAGCAACAACAACAACAGCAGCAGCAGCAGCATCATCATCATGTACAAAGCACCCAAATACAACACATTCAAGTTCAGGCGGCGCCGCCCCAGCAACAACATCAACAGCAGCAACAGCAACAGCAACAGCAGCAGCAGCAGCAACAACAACAACAGCCACAGCAGGCCGCAGCGCAGGCGCAGCACCTGACCATCACGAATACGGTATCGCTGCCCGCAGCGAACACCGTCAAGAAGCGCAAGATCACCTTCTCCGATGATGATGACAATATCTACACCACCGAAACGGTCGACTATGCCGTCAAGGACGAACAGACCATTGTGAAAAGTAAGAGAATCCGTTGGAAATCTATCAAGCACGCAACTAGCATACGATAAAGAAAGACTTTCGCCACCCAGCTTTGAGCAGAGCTTCTTCATAAGCAAGGTCGAGCAACACTTGCCCACCTACCCAGCCCTTTTGCAAAGGTCCTTCCCTCTGAACCGACCGAATCGGATCACTCTATTCTATAATGATCGACTTTTTTGTTGATCAACTTTTACAAGTTCTTATATAGAAGCGAAACCTCTTTGGCAACAGAGACTTTGCAAGGAAAAGTATTCTATTCTCGAGATATCTTAACGCAACTCCTGCCGCATATCTGTCAAGCCTTAAGCTTTATGCCTGCAAGCTCTTTCTTGCTTTTTATACTCCTTGTAAGGACCACATTAGTCTGCGCGCTTGAAACGTACTTTGTTTTAATATAAATATAACAATTATTGAGCGTGCTCTTCTTGCAGCTGCTGAGATGACATTTCTACGCGGCGCCGTCAAAATGGACATACCCGACTATATAGTCAGTGAGGTGGACGATCGTTTATCGGACGGTGCGACGCCACAAACGTCACAGGACGCGACCACAGCGGCCGCACAGACTGTGGCGCAATACTCTTCCGAATACGAGATCCTAACCGAGTCTGAAATCGAGGAGAAATATCAAGCAGATCCCGAGAATGCCGAAATTGCCATCGAAATGAGTGAGTAGCTGCGTATATATATATATAGATATATATTATAAGTCCAGCTAACAACTTCTGTCAATTGCAGCACGCCTGTTGAGCACAGCGAGCGGCGCAACAACCACAACCACCGCACAGGCGGTTCTGGAGGATCCTAGCGCCGCGCCGACGGGTGCCACAACCACCGTCTCGGTGACGCCAGTCAAAACTGACAACAAAGCCAGCGGCACCAATGGTGAGTGCATTTAACCAGGCCAAACACTGTTTAATCCTAACTCAACGCACAAGAAATTCAAATCGTTTGCTGATTTGACATTTCACAATAGCTGCACAATTGGGAATGAAGCATGAGACTTTCTAGTCTAGCACTTTAGAGTGTTCGACGGTTTATGTTATGATATACCAATCCATCAGGCTGTTGGCTTGACTGACTACTCGCCGATAGATCGGAAATGAAATGTGCAATCCGTTCACCCAGTCTAGAGTCTCAGAATGTGGATTGATTATATAATTACACAAATGGTTATAATAGGTTGCCGTCCATAAGTACCCGCTTTAAGGGGAGCTCAATAATGGGAACCTAAGCAACAGCCAGCTTTTAGTTATGTCTATTAAGTCTCAATTGCTTGCTTTTACCTTAAACAGCACTTAACTTAAGAATTGATTCCAGCTGAATTCCTTAAGAATCAAAAATATAGTCCTATCGCACACAAAAGGTTTTCGCAATCCCTTCAATTCGGCAATAATTATAAAAAATTTGACTTACGTGCCAATTATAATTCACAACTGGTTTAAGCGATAACTTGGCTGAGTTGATGAGCTCTGAGAACAGAGTGAAATAAATTAAAGTTGTGTTGGGAAATCGTTTGGATCGGCAGCTATCCTTATTTTGTTTGTTTAAATATATAATTATATTTTATTATTTGTCTTTTAATTGTAACTATAAAATGCGTTTTAATTTTAATTTAAAGTATAAGTTTTATGTTTTGTTGTACAAATATTATTGCTCGGATTGGTGTTGGATATTTTGAGTGTATAAATCGTATTTATAGATTGTTTGGCTTTTGATTATATATCAGACTTCTTATCGTATTGTGTTTTGGCGTCGAATATGTCTCCAAAGTGTTTGTCTATTGTTTAACTAAATGTGTGTGTGTAGAAATGTAATTGAAACAGAAAACAGACAACAGAAAACAGAAAATAGAAGCGTGAAAAGCGAAAGCGAAAAAGGCATGCTAATTGTATAATTTGTCCTATTTTTCTGTATATTTTTAGATTCACCCAATAATAAATGGACAGAATGTCAATTTTGCAAAATGGTTATTACCACGGTGAATCTTTGGAGACATATTCGCACCCAACATACGCCCCAACCGCCGCGCAAATGCGATCTCTGCAATAAGAATTTCAAAAACAAATACAGCCTCCGCGAGCACATACGCATCTCCCATGAGCAGAAGGTGGCCATCAAGACGGAGAACTGATGGACGATCTTTCAGGTGCAGCACGGCGTCAATTGAATATCCCACGCGGCACGGAACCAATGCGAGCGAGACGGAGCATACTAACTAGAAAGAGAGGGCGAGACGGAGACAGAGCGACAGAGAGAGAGAGAGAGAGAGAGAGAGAGATAGATAGAACATTACGTCCAACAAAGAAACAAATGCTGCAAGTGGCAAGACATTTGTGTGGAACCACCCAAATAAAGAAAAACAACAAATAATAATGTAAAGCAAACAAAACTTAAAGAAAATACAAAAAAAAAAAAGAGACGGAGGATGATGAGGAGGATAATGTTAAAGCACTTTTCCAGTCATTAGCACTTACTTTGCATTCAACTAAAATGAGAAAACCAAAATGAAACAAAAAAAAGCTTAAATCAGATCTGTTTCATGGCCGACAAAACTTGATATAAATGTATAGAAATAGGAAATGCTTGCTAATTCAAATGCTGCAACAGATCTGGGGCAAAGCTAACTATATTACATTCTATATACCATATATATATATGTATATATATATTAGTATATGTGCGTCTGTCTATCGAGATGTTAGCGCTAATTTCATTTGTAAGCCACAACAAATGTCGAGTCAGTCGGCTTGTGGTGCTGGTGAAGCCCAATATTGACCAAGCCATGTCATATATATAAGCAGGCGGATATATATATATATTCCCGATTAATTGAAAAACAAAACAAAACAAAACAAATTGAAATTAATTTATGTATTTTAGTTAATTAGTTAGCCAAGTGCGTCGCGTACATCACGTAACTGTACATACATTAATCTTAACTCTTATTATATAATTCCTAGATTATATATATATATATATATATATGAATATATATATTTTATAGAGCGCTAGAGCCAAAGTCAGACTAGGCCCACAGTCAAACAATGTGTTTTATTTTTATTTTTTATTTTTATTTATGTATTTTGCTCAACACACACACACAAAACCTGTACAAAATGAAATATAATTCAGTTTTAGATATTCTCTAAATATATATAATTTTTTCTTAATTTTTTGTTTTAGATGTAAACCCCAAATCTTATACCTCCCAATTCCACGTCCACATTTAGCTAGCATATACATGTTGAACCTAAGCATATTTCAACTAGCATTATATTTTTAATTTGATATTAACAAATGCATATTTAATTGTCAAATGTCGTAGTTGAATATACATATAGAAATAGGAAAACAATCTGTATACACACACACACACACACACACACACACACACACACACACACACACACACACACACACACACACACACACACACACACACACACACACACACACACACACACACACACACACACACACACACACACACACACACACACACACACACACACACACACACACACACACACACACACTCACACACACACGCACACACACACACACACACACACACACACACACACACACACACACACACACACACACACACACACACACACACACACACACACACACACACACACACACACACACACACACACACACACACACACACACACACACACACACACACACACACACACACAACACACACACACACACACACACACACACACACACACACACACACACACACACACACACACACACACACACACACACACACACACACACACACACACACACACACACACACACACACACACACACACACACACACACACACACACACACACACACACACACACACACACACACACACACACACACACACACACACACACACACACACTCACACACACACGCACACACACACGCACACACACACACACACACACACACACACACACACACACACACACACACACACACACACACACACACACACTAAAGCTAAATATATACTTAGTTAATTGAAAGGCTAAATGTTGAATGAACGACTCATACGTATTATATAATATATAAATATATATATTTATGTGTGTGTGTGTGTATATATATTTACATATATCGTATCGATTACGAGCAAAATTTTGATGTCAGATCATATACATATTATAAAAACAAATTTATATCAGATAAATTAACGAAATTTGTATACCCTTGCAGACTTGCGCCCATTCGAATTGCCATAGCCTATATGATATCGAGTAGTCTGTACTTAAGCAAATTTGGGGCTCATATGAAAATCAAAAGATGTTTATTGTAGTTTTTTATATGGAAAACAATGCAATTTTTTATATATATTATATTATGTGCTAAGCGCTGTCTGAGCCTGCCAGTTTAGCTGCATAACTGTTCAATTGAAATGGAATGCTATGGAATGGAACGGCTAACTGAATTGTCACAGCTAGCGTTCTTAAGTTACGGAATCAGCTTTAAATGTCGACGTTCTAATGATATACTCAAATAAGCAAATGAAAATGAAAAACGATAGAATGGAACGTTCTTAAGTCTGTGAAGAGCCGGAAACGGAATGGTATACATACTTCACGTTCAATCGAGTGGAATGAAGCACGGCAGCAACATGACTTTTGAAACGTGTTCATTTGGAACAGATTGGAATGGGATCGGAACAATAGACTTCGAACAACACAGCTTGCAGACATGCACTGGAACAGAATGGAATGGGATTGGAAAAATAGACCTCGAACAATACAGTTAGTACATGCAGCAAACGATTTTGAAACAGAATGGAAAGCGACTTGCATTCAACGATTTTGGAACGGAATGGAATGGGAATAGAACAATAGACTTCGAACATTTTATAAACAGTTTTTAATACCTGCCTCTGCAAGGGTATCCAAATATTTGTATGTAAAACATGAAAAGCAAAATTAAAAATTTTTGTGTCTCATTTGTATTTGTGTAATGTAAAGAAATAAAACAAGATGTGAAGCGAACCAAATATGCATGTATATAGAGTTATATATATATATATATAAAAGAGATTAATATAATTCAAGCTTTCTTCTCCTTTTGATAAGAAACCCGAAACCCGAAAAACAAAAAAGAAAAGAAATAAAAAAGAAATTCTTTGAAAAGGATTGCAAATAAAATACACCTAATAAAAGCCAAGAACTATACGTATTCCCAGCTTAAACGCAATCAGATCTCTCTTAATTAATGCAAAAATTGTACAAATTGTAATATAATATAATTTTTAAACAAGTCTCGAAATGTTTCAGCTGCCGCAGCATCCGTCGCATCCGGCGCAGCCGTTGCCACCGTCGAGGAGAATGCCCCAACGGGCGTGGCGCTCATCTGCGGCGTCTGCAAGCGCCGACTGCAATCGATGAACGCCCTGCGGCGACACATTGCCTCCAGGCACTCGGAGATCCAGAGCAAGGAGCACGAGTGCTTCATATGCATGAAGAACTTCAAGACCAAATGGTCCCTGTCCACGCACAATTCGCGCTTCCATCGGGATGCGCGCCTGAGCAAGGAGCTGACCAAAATCGATTTCGCGGATCATCAACTCAACTAGCCGGAGAGAGAGAAAGTGAGACATATTTCTTAATATAAATATATATATTGTTATATGTGTATATTTTTTGTAAACTTAATTAAGCTAAGCTAAGCTAAACTAAACTAAGCTAAACTATTGTAAATGTGAACTTAAGCTAAGCGTTTGGAATGTGTACAAATTCTTTACTTGTTTCTGATTTTGTTTCATGTATTTTATATATGCGAATCAAATCCGAACGTTTCGTAAATCTGTCGTTTCAGCGTGATTTTATTCCGTTTCGAATCGAGCTCCGTTCCGATAAAGTTTCCTTTTGTAAATTTAGTAAATATCATAAATAAGAGAGCTACATAAATGAACTAATTAATATTTAATCAATCGTTGGATAAATCAATCTTCTTTCTATTATGAACTTCATTTCCGAACAGGCTTTCAGCTCGTGAAAATCTTTTTCTTAGATCAAAAATGTTTTTTTTTCTAAAAAAAAGAAATCTCAGAAAAACTAAAAATTCTTGAATTCGAAATTCTTTTACTTTCAAATAAATCTCGGCAAAGTTAGTTCGAAACTCTAAAATTCAAAATTCGTTTTTGAAAAAAATCTAATTTTGTAATTCTTAAGTTCGAAAATGCTTTTACTTTTAAATAAATCAATGCAAAACTAGTATTTCCTATTCTTATAAATCAAAAATTTTTTAATTGCAAATAAATCTTGGGAAAATTTGTTTTGAAAATGTGCTAAATGTTAATTTATTTAAATATTATAAGCTTAAACGATATTCGCTTTCTTGATATGTATAATTCTATGTGTGTAAAAATTATACTTTATATATGTATATCTCCAACATTTTATGTATAATAATTATACTTTATATATATGTAATTCCTTAGCAAATTTTTATAGAACAGCTTAATTTGATGTTTGGCACCAAATAATCCGACTGTTCTCGAGATTTTCAGTTAGTGTGTCTGAATGTTGTGTAAACTTATGCCAATTTTCGAGAAATTTTCCAATTGTTGTGCTTTTCGAATATCCAAACTACAAACTATCCGCCGCACAGCTGCAAGCCATATTTGTTTTCAATTATATTGTTTCTTAAAGGAAAATTAAATCGGAAAAGTGTTTTTGGCAACATTGTAAAAGTAAAACGCAAGTTCTTTACATGTTTTCAATTTTTTTTCTTCAGATTTTATTAGCTTAACTAAATTTGATACACGTTTTTTTATACATCTATGCAGTCAGATATTAGACTGTAGATGCACTAGAAATTTGGAAACAATTTTTCGAGTGGACAAAAATAATATTAAAACGTTTTTTTTTTTTTTCTTTAAATGCAAGCTAGATCTCTAGAGACACTCTTGTCCGGGCAGCGGGAACGTGACGCTGAACTTCTTGACGCATTTGTGGAGCTCCGACAGCTGCTGCTTGATGGCCGGATTCTCGTTTAGGGTCTTGGTGTAGTCAACCAATTTGGGGCTGCTCACCGCTTTGGCAGCCTCGGCGCCAATTTTGAGCGCCGCATCGATGAAGGCGACCACCTGTTCCATGTCCTTTTCGAGTAGACCGCGCGTTGTTAGCGCTGGCGTGCCCAGGCGTACGCCGGACGGATTCAGGGCGGACTTATCGCCGGGCACCGTGTTCTTGTTGCAGGCTATGCCCACCTCCTCGAGCACCAGCTCAGCCTTGGCGCCGGTTAGGCCGGCGTTGCGCACATCGACCAGCACGAGATGGACATCGGTGCCGCCGGTGGCCACCGTATAGCCCAGATCGATGAGGCCCTTGCACAGCGCCTTGGCATTCTTGATGACCTGCGCCTGGTAGCCCT